ACTCAGGTGTAGTTTTGATTGCTGAATCTTCTGTCTTCTTCTGATATAGTTTTGAACTTCAAATCTACCTCACTTTTCTGCTGTACAGTTTAACTGTTGAATCTACTAACGTATTCAAGCGTAGTTTTCTCTGCTTATTTTGCTGCCATCTTCAGATGTGGTTTAGACCTGTGAATCGGTTACCGTCTTCAAGGGTAGTTTTAACCGCTGAACCTATAGTTTTTTGTACTAAATCATTTGTGACTCGTTCAGGTGTAGTTTGATTGTTGAACCTTCTGCTCTCTTTAAGGATAGTTTTAACTGCTTAATGTGTTGCCCTCTACAGATGTAGTCCTGAAAATGGCAGGTTATGATCCTCTGTGTTTTTTATTATTATTCCGGAATCTTAAAATGCAGAAGCATTTTTCATATAAACACGTTGTTTTATGTGATTTCTGAAGTTTTAGTTGTACCGAACAGTAGTGATAAATGACTTCTATCGTTGATTACAAAAGGTATTATAGCGTCTATAATTTCTTTCTTTATTTTTGATTCTTGACCTACATGTCTACCTTCTCCACTGTATTTACTATTTTTTCTTCCCAAAAATGAAATTAGTCGTTGGGTTATTGGTGTTCCAGTCTTTCATAGCATTCATGTTCCTAGATCTGTGTTTTAACTAACTGACCACTTTACTTCATCTTTGATGTACCAACACTGGATGAAGTAAGTTCCTCATTCAAAGGAGTCTTGAAAGAGTATTGAGTGTCAGCCAGTTAACAGCATAGGCTGTTAAGGAATTCAAAGAGTATTTTTGGATTTCACCCAGAAAGAATAAGATTTTTCCGCTTTGTTTCTGCCTTCTGAAGGTACGTAAAGTTTTTCTTATTTAACAGATCCTTTTGTGTTCGTACTTTATTCATTTCGTAAACTAAGAGTCTGTGACACTGTTTGCTAAGTAGTTAGTGTAATTTGATGAATAGTGTAAATAGTTGCAAGTGGTTTTGTTACTATTCCGTTACAGAAGTAAAGGCTCATTTCTTTCCATTACAGTTTTCTAAGGTAAATTATGCTACGTTTATTCGGGCAGATCGTTTACGTGTCTGAGTTCTGAGTTATTCTTTTTTAATGTAAGTTGGTACTTAGGGAGTTGTCTTGCTCAAAACGTTATGTGAACAAATATTTGTGCAGGTGATTCCATTGTAATTAATTATCTTCGTTTTTAAAATAACAACAAAGCTGAAAGTGTATTCCAATATACACCCTGGGATGCGTTTAGAAGTAATAGTTGTTGTTTTTATTTTGTAAGATGTAATCCGGCTCTAGAAATCGTCACAGTGGGTAGAGTGTGATGCGTGAGAGAGGAATACACTGTGAAAGTAGTATCTTTATCGTTATGCAGCGACATATTTAATTATGATACCATACAGTCAGTTTTTGCAAATTATTAAGAAAATCTAGGAAACTATATACGTAAATATACATACTTGAAAAACTGTGATGTTGTGTCTGTACAATTGTTTTACAAATTGTTGTCCAGTGATATTGGTCAACCAAAGGGTATTAGAGCCAATAATATTCGCCAATTCTTAGAAATAATAAAGTTGAAAAAAGATGATAAATTATTAAATAAAGACGAAGGTTCGGCGAATATCTGCGTAAGAATGTGGCGGGACCTCCTCTAAAATTTATGCAGAAATGTAAACTTACACACAGATCACATGATCTAGTTAAGAAGAAATAAATATAACTTTTACGTCTTGTAAGTTCACTCCTGGTGATAACGTGGTAAACGTCAAAACATTTTAGAAATGTTGTGTGTTGTTTATTTATGATTTTAACATTATACACAAGTAGCAAGAAATAATATCTGTGTTTATTTATTATTCTAATGTGCTGTTTCATTTTTTTTCCTGTCTTAGTTGTTACATTACTCTTAAAGCTGCACGTACTTCCCATTTGTAATTAAAGTTGTCAGATTTTACTCATATCTATTAAATAGTTAGAGTACTGTGATTGCTATTACCAGTTACTTGTATTTTTGTTATTAAGAAACTTTCTTTGAGATAGTTGTAATCTCTGTTACTAGGTCTTTATTGCAGAAGGCAGTGTGGTGGAATTTGTGGGTTTAGCTATGCTAGTATGTGTGTAATTAGTGACTTCTAGGTTTTAACCTCTTTAATTTAAAGTTGTCAATTTTGTTGGTGTGTATTTGTTTGGTTTTATTACGTTTATTAGTTTATACATTCTCCATCACGTCCAGAGCTGAGAAGTTGGTAGGTTTCGGTATCATACCCCAAGAAGAGGTGATTTGGAGTTGTAGTAGTGCTTAGATTTAATAGCAGGTTTCAGTTCGATTATATGTCATTGCAGGCTGGGTTTGTAGAGTATAGAAGAGTGTATCATTAGACACGCACAGATATAATGATAACTAATTGACTAACACTATGCACCACCCTTTGTACGGTAAAAACAATAATAATATTAATGTGTGCGCTTGACATGCACATTACTACAAAAGATAACATTCTATATCTGTCAAATGAAACATGTGACGTGATTTGGTCCATATGTAATCCATCAATGACATTTTGTAGTGATTATGTAATCTGAAAAGTACCATGTAAACTATTGGGAAAACAGCAAATATTGGTCTATCGATGTTGAGGAAATCCCTAATAGTAGTTTCCAGGGAATCATATCTTCATGCCGAACACTACCGTTTGATGCGTCTCTCACTGTTGTATGTGTGGAGAGTTAGTCATCAGAATCAGAGCAAGAGGAAACAAGGGTTTAATGCATAAATTACTACAGCTGTTTTCAAATTAGATGTATAGATACTTAAATCCTCTGAAACCGACTTGAAGTTACAAGTCTGTGTATTTAACAAGAACACACAGTAGTACATATATCTTATCCATGAATCTAGGGACATTGATATATACATACACCCACAGAAGCTTTCAAGTTTACATATTTTAGCCCACATACAGTGTAACCATTAAATTTAAAGCAACTTTAAATATTATTGAAACAATATCAGATCGTTGAGAATGTAATTATAATTCTACAAGTTCTAGGACAGAGAAAACGTTTAGCATGAGTCATCTTTTTTATGGTGGTCTGAGTGCATGTATTCATGGTTTTTCATACTTTTCTAATGAGTGTGAGCTATTGATTTTCATGGTGCTCTGAGTGTATGTATTCATGGTTTTTCATACTTTTCTAATGAGTGTGAGCTATTGATTTTTATGGTGCTCTAAGTGCACGTATTCATGGTTTTTCATAATGTTATAAAGAGCACGAGTCATCCTTTTTTATGGTATTTTAAAAGTTTCTACTTATGCTTGCTCATAAAATTATAAAGATATGATTCCTGGTTGTTTATGATATTTTAAATGTATGACTCATGGTTGTTTATGATATTTTCAATGTATGACTCATGGTTGTTTATGATATTTTAGAATATGACGCATTGTTATTCGTGATATTTTAAATGTATAATTCGTGGTTGTTTATTATGTTTTAAAAATATATACTCGTGATTTTTATGACGTTTTAAGAGTATGACACATGGTTGTTCATTAGTATGTACATGTACTCATCGTTAGTTGACATGAAACCATTCAGTGCACATCTTCTTCAAAACGCGAAAGTGTCGTAGTTCCTGTTGTTCTTAAATTCTGACAAAGTCGAACTTGGTTGAAAACAATGTGTATTTCAAAGGAGTTAGAGATGGGCGATGCGTTTAATGTGGTGATATTCATTTAAGTGCTTCAAGAGGTTATACAAATGAAATATAATAAGTATTAGACGAAAAGAATTATTTTTTCCTTAGCATGAAAATCTTTAAATGATTCAGAAATTTGCAAACAAATCTTTAGAAGAAATACTTTATCAAAACCTAACTTTTTATGTACAACAGACTTATAATAGTTACTAAAAGTCTGACAACTTTGCGAAGATATATATAGAAATTCATAGTTAGGTATGTATAGTTTCACAGTTCCAAGATGGGTCCATATGACCCACTTCGTACTGACAGTATGGGACCTCCTTCAATTGTATGCACGATAACATGAGAACTGTTAGGAATCTGTCAGTCTTTTTTTGTATATTTTTTCTTTTATTGAGTTAATAACAATATTTATTGAACAAAGATTTTTGGTAAAATGTAACTTAAAGATAGAACACATATAATAAATACTGTTACGAGTCTCATATCCTTCATTACTTTGATACTTCTTTGAAGCAAAATGTCTGTAGAAGTAGTTTGTGTACCAAAAACATATATTCATAGAAAGATTGATGGAACGTAAAGAGTGACGAAAACGTATAAGAATAAGAAATGTAAAAAAAAAAAATATTGTGTGTGTATAGAAATGATTTTTTTAACCTTTTAGTAATGTTTACATGATTTACTGCCATAACATTGGGTCTAATTCTATTTCATACAACATAAAAGTTATGACTCAGTGTCTTTCTAAACACTAAAATAACTTGTAAATAATCAATTTAGTTTGTATTTAGACTATGATGAAAGACAAAATAATGAATCATTTTAATGTTTAAAGGTGCTGGAATGCTTGATATATATACAATCCATATCTGGTTAATATCGACGTCTTTCAGTAATGTAGGACTCCGTTAAATAAAGAAAGAAAAAGGCTTTAGGAAACTGTAAACTTGCTCATTTATTATGATTAAGTGTCTTGCAAGCGATAAGAACACTGTGCTATAATATTCAAACTTGTATAAGTGATCGAAATGTTTGATGAAACTCTTATCTTCCGTAGTTTGTTAGACAGACGCGCTGTTTTCTAAGCCTGACCCGGTCAACAAAGAAAACAAACACGCGACCCCGCCGTTCGTGCAAAGCCAATCACCCCAACCGGAGCGAGAGAGCAGCTGGCAGTATGAACAATCTCGTGGAACTGAGCATGCGCAACGGAGCGCGGATAGGGCGCGCGCCTCACCTCAGAAGGCAGTGTGCGTGGTGTTGAACATGGCTACGCTATCAAACGGAGTATTGGACACGGGCGCTCATCATAAAGGCCCCCAAATTTATAACGACTCATCAATGATTACTAAAGATCATGATGCTATTAAATTATTCATTGGACAGATTCCTCGAAATCTTGACGAGAAAGATCTTAGACCATTGTTCGAGCAGTTTGGAAAGATCTATGAGTTGACTGTGTTAAAAGACAAATATACAGGCATGCACAAAGGTAAGCCACTCTTTCACCTTCTTTCCAAAAGATACCGTTTACAAAGGCTATCCCTTCCTTTGTTAAAGTTATAATTTGAGTTTGGAATTCCGTAATTTATTTACATATATAAGCAACTTGTTGTGGCTAGAAACTGCGCAAGGCCTCGCCAGTAATCAAAGGCTACATTTAATTTGAAAGCTTATCATAAATTTCCTGAACCATATGGTCTGATTTGTGACGGTGGACGCGCTGTTGACAGCTGTGGGCGATTGACAAGAGCCGCGCGCAGAGCACGAGATTCAGAGCACGCGGGAATACGTCACCTGACGTGTTCTTTGTTGATAAAAGAGAAGCCTTACGCTTGATTTTGCATTTACGTCCATATTTCAATACAGCTTTTATTTCAAATTGAATGAGAATATAATACCAAAATATCACAGTTGATCCTTCATAGCTCTCGAATCGGTAGTTTGTTGACATTAAAATCATGTTGAAAACAAAAAAGTTAGATTTAGTAAAAGCTGTTTCAAGTTGGACTGGAAAGGAAATATACTGAATGATAAGACCAACCACTGAAAAACTAATAATTTAAAGCTATGGACATCAGTAAAATATATAAATATAGATTATTGTAATCCACAAGTAGGGATGAGCAAATGTAAGATTTGCGTTCCCACACATAAATATTACTATGGGCATCAGTAAAATATATAAATAGAGATTATGGTAATCCACAAGTAGGGATGAGCAAAAGTAAGATTTGCTTTACCACACATAAATATTGCGTGCAAATAGTTTAGAGAAGAGTAATCTAATATTACACCATTAGACGCTGGCAGTAGAGAGAGAGAGAGAGACAGGGGTCGAGAAAATATTTATTTTTAGTTTGTGTCTTACTATAATTCGCAATCATTTCACTTTTAGCATTAAACAGTTTTTATTTCTAGCTGGCAAACACATATCTTCTGCGCCACATCTATATATATATATGTACGGATCTTTTGACGCATGCTTTTAAGATTAACTCGTCTATATACATGACGGGTCTTTTGACGCATGCTTTTAAGATATACTTGTCTGTATACATGTACATGTTTTTGAAGCATGCTTTTAAGATATACTTGTCTATATACATGTACGGATCTTTTGACGCATGCTTTTAAGATACATTTGTCTCTGCGGGTCTTGACGCATGTTTTTAAGATACACTTGTAGATATACATGTACGGGTCTCTTGACTCATGTTTTTAAGATACGCTTCTTTTATTACAGGTGAAAATGTCGACATTAAAACCATAAATTTAATTTTCAAATCGAAGTGGTGTTTCCCACATACACACACACACACTTTCATTTATGTTTTTGAAACCTTGTTCTATTCTGCGGTGGTGGCTAATGCGTTAAAGGGTTGAGTATTCATTTTTATAAACATAAATTACTCACGTTAAAAGTATGAAATATAATTTATCAAAAATTTCCAGTTGATAATATTTCATATCTTAGTTTTGATTTTAAAATGTAACTAATAAAGTTTAAAAAAAAAGTCATTCATAGTTTCTACTAAGGACAGAATTTGATGACTTGATTAAATATTTACTAAGTGAATTAATATACATTTAAACAGAAAACTTTACATGAATTGACTAACTGAATTCCAGAGCAGTTTTCTGAGAAATATTCCGTTATATTACTTCCGGTTTAACCTAGTGAAAAGTAACATTTTTATACCAATTCGTCGAATAGTTCAACTTTAATATTCAAAGTTAAATATGTGTCTTATTCTTCTATTTCGTGTAATTCTAAACTCGTTTGAGAGAGAAAAAAAAACCCTTATTAAACTCAGCTTTTTAAAACTATAACATAAACACATAACAAAGACTAGAGAGACAAGTATAAACTCAAATGAGAAGAAAAAGGAATAATGTTGGACATAAACTGTCGAAGTGTTTCCTTTATGCATATAAATGTGTTTCTAATTGTACAAACGCTATACAGAAGAATGATACTTTAAAGTATGATCTGCTGTGTAAACCTGACGGTACTTCACTCTTCATCTTTGTACAGTTTATGTTCTGTAGAAAACATGGCGGCAGACTAGGATTTCTTGCTTAGAATACTTACTCCATATCGTCGGATAGCTGTGATGAACTATGCAGAGTTCTCTGATACCAAACATGTTTTTAGCGATTTGTCAAATGTAGTATCTTTTAAACGCACTGTATTATTCGGAATAATAATAATTGTCTTGGAAAACTTTGGAGGTTTAAGAATGCAGATTTGTTGTTTTAAACAAAATACTTGTAAAATTGGAACTTCTACAACAAACTGGAGTTGCCAAAGAGCAAATGTACTGTGTTTAAGAAAACTAATTGTAATGAGAGCTTTAATACTAAAATATCTTATGTATCTTCATAATCAGGTTCACAGTTTCAATAACAATAGTCTATTAATTTAATACAGTTTTTCTGTATGTCAGAAACTTGTCGTTAATCAATTGTCGTGACAAGTTCAGCAAGAGAAATCACTTTTTTTTTAAATAGCTATTACCGAACATCTGTGCAGAGTTTTTGTAAAACTACTTTTAAAACATGTGACATAGTTTGCATTATGAGTTTTGGGAAATAGCAGAAAATTTAAGTTAATTTATCAAATTTTATTTCACTGTTGCTTTTTCTGTAATAAACCCGTTTCTGGAATAAAGAAAAATCAATCAATCCAATGTATAGTATCGTAAATCTCGGTTTAAAAAGGAATCCCAAAATTTGTATACTAGCATTAAAAAAAAAAGCACATTCAGTGCTCAGCACCTAGCTAGGTAACACTTTGAAGTTATTCACTCTGTAGTTAAGAATGACGTCTAAACTTTAAGAAGGAAATATACACGAAATTCTCGATCTTGGTCACGAATTCTACCACGTTTTCTCTACCAGTCTGTGTGTAAGTACGGCTAGGATTTGACAAAGGAGCTTAAACTTGGGTACTAGCTTCAAATACTTACACGATTAATGTGAAATACAACGAAAGGTGAGAAAAAGTGCTAACCAATTGTTTAAGATCTCATAGTAATCCTAACAGGAGGTTTTCTTTATAATATGTCATTTCTTATACTATGTAAGATTGAAATATCTTTATATTGTATCATTTTTTGAATGCCAATTTAATTTGTAGACTACTGCCAAATAGCATGAATTATATTACAAGAAAAATGTACCCCTTATTGACTGGTAAAAGTCAATAACAGATATCATGCTCTATAATTTACACCCAATCTTGTTTCTGCTTGCGTGGTTTCGGAATGAAGTAACTATCAATTGTATTTCAGATTCCATATGGTGGGATATTGATTGAATATATGTATATATATATTTCGGTTATTTTTCACCAGTTAACATCAGATACGCGACATCTGGATAGCTCCGTCTGTCTGTTTGATATTAAGCACAAAGATACACAATGAGTAGTTTGCGATATACCCATCGTAGGTATAGAGCCTCGAATTTAGCGTTATAAGCCATCAAACGTACCGCCGAGCCACCAAAAGTCTGATAACGCTTTGCAAGGGAAACTTTTTTATTCTATGTACTCATGTTTTTTGTTGATTTTTGTAGAGTTAAATGCTGCCATATGAAAAACAAATAAACATATTCATAATTGTAACGATTCAATTCTGGCCTTCAGTTGTCTGGTGTTTGTATTACAGCTGACAGTGTTTCGCCAAAGTTGAATTTCTGAAAAGCCTAATATTATTCTCGAAGGTCTCATAAGATATAAACTTGGTGATTATAGCGTCCTTGGTATATATATCTACATTGTTCTTAATAAACAACTCATGAGAGGCATTTTTTGAAAAGAAATGTAAAAAATAATAACGTATGCAAATTAAATGTTAACATTTAAACATTTAAATTGTTTTTTCTCGTGTGTTGTGTTACGTTTTCCTAAAACGAATGAGATACAGGACAATAATTTGTTTAGTAAAAAATACCTCCAAATTATCTAATGAAATTGCTAGAACTATGTTAATAGTTATAAATGTACTTTTTATAACATCTCACAACAAAACATTTCACTGTAATGACTATCACCTGAGGGACATGAAAAGCATGTTCTGACTGGAAAGTAACATTAGATAATGCTGATACCACGGACAAATTTTCAATGTCAAATATCTTTTATGTTTTCCCTATGTTTCATTGTATACAGAAGAACTTTGATATTTACTTATATATATGTATATAAGAAAATGTTTAAAAACCCCAGGTTACTTCATCACATCGGTTCTTTGTAACAACTAGAACACTTAGTTTATCTCCCAAATATTATTCTTAAATCATTTCTACGATAGTAAATTATTATTGAAAAATGTTCTACTTTTATTCCATTGTTTGAAAAGAAATTATTGAAACAAAATAACAACACCAGGTTTTATTAATATGTAAATGAATATTTTTTTTCTATTAATAACCCTGGAAATTCAAATGTCAATTTCTGTTAACAGTCTATAAACTTAAGCTGTAATGCTATTGAAAAAGAATTAAACCCCAGCATGGATTTATAAGAGTCCATAAAAGTACGTAATACTTAAATGACGCGAGAATTATCTACTCCAAGTTTAGTGCTAACTTCGGTTGACAGAAGTCAGTTTTTTTATTATTTTTGATAATATAAACCCCTAAGACCATTCAAATAAACTGATATTCATCATCTTACCTTATTATAGCAGACTAGTAACGGCTGTAATACCTAAGTGTCAAAAGGAATTCTTATCCCAAAGAACTTAACTTGTTACCAACTTGAGTTAATTTAAAATCCTAACCTCTCACACAAATGAACCAAAACTCTGCACATGTCAAACTACTAGTTATCAATATGTAAGGTCTCAAGGAATGTTTACTCCAAAATTAAATATTCACTTTTTCAGAACTCAATTTTTCATTAACCCAGGGCGACTTTAGCTCTTAATCCTCATCCAAATGATTTGAAATTCAGGAAGCATAAACTTTTTGTATCAGACTTTT